TAAATAGATAGCTTCCTAGTTAGGCTATATGTATGACAGCTAGTGTAGAACCCTTAGCATAGCACTAACACTTCGGGTGGACTACTTAAATAGGCAACCAAAAGTTGTACGTATGACTAGTTGTACTCTCGTTATACTGATGAATATATAAGCCAGTCTTCGGACGGCCCACCCGTTTGAACTAATAAAGTGCTAGGGGCCTAAGTGGTCACCTCAATATTTAAATATATATATATATATATATATATATATAATTGAAATATTTATTATCTTGCCAATAAATTTGTCTAAAAAATTGTCAACTTTGTCCAAAAATATTAGTATCTCCAGAATAGTTGTTTCTTCTATTTTTTCGAGTTCTTTCTTGGTGAAATGTTCTATAATTAACTTATTTTTGATATCAAGAATAAAGGAATAAATAGCGCTATGTAACAAAACTGCAATTTATTATGATAATTTTTATGAAAATAATTTCATATGTATGAATACTTACACTATACTTACTGTTTAAATTTCAAATTTTTTTCAAGTTTAAACAACTCTTCTTCAACTATTTTATTTGATAAAAGTTTTTACATATAACTTTTATTTATTGCTTTATAAGATTTTACAAACTCTATTTGATTTTGTTTGTATATTCTAAATGACCCATTTTAATAGAAAAGTATAAGTTATTATTCATAAAAAGTGCTACAATTCTCAATAAAAATATACTTTGTTTTTCTTTGCCACTTTATTGTTGCTCTTCTCCTTTACCTCTTCTTAATTATCAATTATCTTTTTTCAAGAGTAGATGGTAGTGAGAATAAATATAAACCTGCTAGATATAATTTATCTCATAATCCAAATAATTTGTTTCAAAATCTTCATTGTTCTCAGGGTTAAAAACAGCAGTTTTTGCCTGTACATATGCTCAGAAAGTTTAAAAAAACACTTTTTGTGCCAAGTATTAGTATAATATAATTACCTCAATTTTAGACAATATAGAAGAATTTAGTTGTTGGTCCTATATATAAGTGTTATATTGAGGGATAAAGTTACAAAATTCTAGAAATAGAAATATTAATTTCTTACAGTGCTTGCAGTGTTTAAATCTTCTTGATATATTCTTATAGTAGTATTCATTTTTCGACTTTCTAAGGCTGTTTTATTAGCCAAGTCTTTCATCATCATCTATATCATTTGTTTGATCTTTGTTTGATATTCATACTAAAAACAAGATAACTAAAAATAAAAATATATACAAAGACAGCCATCAATAGAACATAATATTATACTATTTGCAAAGCATTTTTTTTTTTAGATATTTTTTTTTTATTAACAAAGGAGACCTTTTTGATCGATGAAAGTCTATTAAGCAAAGTTAGACACTATACATTATGATGAAAGTATATATAGCCACACGTGCACCTTTTGGGTGTCTAGTTTAAGTAGTCTGCCCAAAGGTTTTACACTATCTGCCATACCTGTAACCCAACTAGGGGATTACCTATTTAAACCCTCTGATCTTAACATATTAGCCTAATATCACCTAACGTGGGTATAACTTACTATTCAAATGTAGATTTTGCGATACTACTACATATTTTCAGCCAACTTAGAACACTTTACTATTCTCGAAGGTAAGCCCAACAGAGCAGTACATATCCCATACATGTATTCACCTGCATGTTCCATAATATCTTTCTATTTAGTGCCGTTGTGCTGCTGACACCGAGTTTGTATCTCAAGCTGCCTTTTAGAGCACTACTATAACCTGATCCATATCTCAAGCCACAACCTTTCTAATTAGTCTTCCATTACATACTCATTGCCTTTAATCAGTTTACAACAACCCCAGTACTCACACTTGAAACTGTCTCCTTACCCGGATTCTTTATTGGTCCCTCCCTTACTTCTAGCCAGCAACTCGGATGGGTCAGTCTGCCCAGGCTTTAGATGCCTGAAGGACGCCCTCCTCTTGGTTCATACTTTCGAAGCGTATACTCTTTTTTTCTAGTGCATCAGCCTGGCGGTTCGGCTGATGTGTTTCCCTACTTAAAGACCTAATCGCTCAGTTCTCCGATCTCAGACCCTGGTTCGAATTTAGCTCTCCTGTGATACTATCGAAGATCGCTGTTATATCCAAATTTGGGACTTCCCAAATGGGTTTTCAGTTATACCAGTTCCTCAGGTTTATTGCACCAAAGCTCTCATTACTAGATAGTGTGACCGAAGTTACAGATTTCTAGATCCAACTGATAAGCATAGCCGTCAACCAAACACAGGCCTATTTTTCAAATATCATCATCCGTGGGATTTGAACTCTAGACCTGCCACTTGGAGAAGGTAACAACTAGACCACTACACTAAATCATCACACCCCTTTTTTTTAGATATTGTTTTTTAATATCAACCCAGAAATTCTTAATATTTGGTTTTTTGGTAATAGCTCTAAAAAAAGAAAAAAGTTAATGGATATATAAGGAAATACTCTAGCACTAGCAAATCACAGCAGATCACAATAGTCCCATAAGCATAGCTCAGAAGAAAAACTGCAATTGCTTTTCTCTGATTGAGTGAGTTATAAAATAACTACTTGAAGATCTATACACTACAATGATTCACAAATTAACAGAAGAGGAACTATAATTACTTCTTATAGTCATAGAAGTTAGATATCTTATTCAACTAGTTGAAATCTCCATACTGTATATAATTGCATATACTATATACTATAAAAGTAAATAATATAAACTGTAATACTTAATATGAAACTTGCTGATCAAGATATTTGTTTTTTCTCGAACTTCTTGAGAGTCTTGCTAAGCTAAATACTCAAGTGATTTCATAAGCTTAAAAGATTTCATTGCAAATAAATAACTAAAGTTCTCTTAATAGTAACAGTATTTATAAAAGCCTAGGTAGCTCTACTCATACACAGGTGTCGCAGTAAAATACATATCTGTCATATTTTTAGTGGTTCTTGATATAGTGATTGCTCAAACTCTTGAGAATTTGATGAATTATATTTTGTATAATAAATATACTTTTTTTAATATATTTACTAATTTCCTTATTGGCTATTAACAAATAAAACTTCTGATTGAAAAAATAACTGCTATTTTCATTATTCTGTGATACAAAAATTAGCTGAATTATTTTTTGGCTAATCTGGTTAAGCTATTTTTTTTAATATGATCAAGTATATAAAAAATATATTTGTCATTTAACTTGAAACAAATAACCTGCCTAAGTAAAACACATATTAGGAATGGTCTAGAAAAGCTGTCTTTGATAGCTAATGCTAAAACAGGTTTTTCTAAACCATTTCCTATATAGGATTTCCACTTCGCTACTTATATAATCTATAGCCAGTACCTAGTATTGTAACTCACACTTTCTTAAAAAATCTAGAATAACTATTTGGGTCAGTATATAAAAAATTTTCTATACCCAAACTATTTACTCAGGCTAGCAAGCCTAAACCAAAAACTTGAACCAGAGGTGTTGAGAACAAAAAGCCAAACTTTTCGTCGAGCTAGCAACAAAGACAACAATTCTTACTTAAATAATACTTATTATGACTACATATTTACTCAATATCTCTTATTCAATACATTACCTTTATATATATATTTTTAAAATTAGCCACCTAACAATCATCATAAATACATCATACTTACCAAAAAATAATCTAAAGCATAAACCCAGATCATGGTCTTATGCCAAATAAATACCTATGATTTTGTTTATAACATCTTATTTTTAATTTTGATATCTAAATTAGTAACTGTTAAAACCCACTATATGAAGTAGCATTATTACAGCAGATTGGTGGAATTGGATCTTTATTTAGATATTTAAATTTGAACTCTAAATTTATTTAATAAAGTAATACAAAAGTAATATGCACTAGCTTTAGATAATTGATGTCCATATAATTTATTAATTTGTTATCTTTAAATTATTAATTTAGGGTCTAATTAAAAGGTCTAATTTTGCCAATCTACCATAATGTGTAATATAGTAGGTTTCAGAAAGTGTGTTTCAAATATGTATCTATTTTTAGTAAAGAAAAGAATTGTAAAATAGCATAGTTATAATGATCTTCTTTTACCAAGCTCTCACTATTATTATCTTGCCCTTAATAGACTATTAGAAACCTTGTTCTATTCAACCATATAACTTCAAGTAGCAACTAAAGTTATACTATGCATTTATTGTGCATTGCTCTTCCAAACTAGTTGTTACAATAGAGATCTAAAAAAATTTTATTATTAATATAAACTGCCGTATACAAGATCTTTACTAGACTAGGTGTAAATCTTAAAATTTACAAATAGCCAAATATAGTTTTTTTTTTTTAATACTGTAATATCTAGGCTGCCTATTATAAATAAAAAATATTCATACTTTTTCAAATTTTTTCTTCTAATAGTACAAACTCTCTACCATGTACTAAACCTGGTTTTAAACCTACTTTGCAAAGTAACTATTAAAACAAAACAATGCTAGAGTTACTACTTTAAACACTATAGTTTTTTACTCATTATATATTATTTTGAATTAATTGATTAGAGTTAGGGTCCTATAGCCTAGTGGTCTAGGCATCTAACCTCCACAGACAAGGTCAATGGTTCGATTATAGCTAGTGGTAATTAATTTAATTAATTATCACTATAACCTACAGGAGCTTTCGAATGCGAAACTCTGTGATGATAAGACCATGTGAAGTACTTATTTGGCCTATAAAGAATTCTTGAAAGCAGTTCCGAGCCGTAAAGAAGACTGGGCACTACGTGTAACATGGTGTCACAGAAAGTAATACTGCATAAGGCTGTGCATGTAAATTCTCGATTGGCTAGATAGCATCAACAACCCTAAGGCAGTCTTGGGATCTTGATTGGGAGGACGGCTAAATGCAGCATATCTGAAAGTGGTGAGAGAAGTGGTGAATACAGTAAGGGGCTGTGGTAAGAGGATGGCTTTACCAAATAAAGGAACACCTCTG